CAATTTTTTGAACAGTTTATGGCTAACCTGGGTGGGAAGCCATAGTTTATGGGTAACCTACTTCTGATTGGCTAGAGAATCAGTCCTGGACCACAGAGGGGAGAACCCAGGCACCCGCCAGCAAGTGTACCTGCCATTCCTGGGAAATCCTGGTGGGAACTGTACTTGAGACTCAAGAACATAACACACGCAGCCCTTGCTCTCGGCCAGTGATGTCCCTGAACCCCAGCCGGAGGGGCCACTGTCCTGGATCTCAGGCTTCAGAGGGCCCCATTCTGGCTTTCTGCCAACGGGGCCTCGACTCACATCCTACGGCCTCCTTCTAGCTCACGCTCTGCGCACCCTGGACTGTGGCAGTGCTTTGCTTCGGCGTCTTCACCCTGCCGCTGCCTCTGAGACCCGCGTGATATTAAGTGTAACACTGATTACTGTCGTCTTAGCCTGTCTGCCGCTGAAGAGCCCCTCTCCACTACAGCGATTTCTTAGGAAACTTTCATGTTCAGGGGCCAATTGGTGACTCCCCTCCTTCCTCAGGCTGACAAAATAGGAAAAGCCACAATTACTGTGCAGCGTCCAGGGCGGTTCGCACCTGGCAGGGGAAGCCACGCTGCTTGAGAAACTCGGTACTGGCAGAATGAGAGTTCTCTACCTGCAGAACGAGCATCTGGGGAAACTGCTCTGCTTCTCTTGAAGGTGATGTCAAGCTCTCATTCTGCACCTGCCCATCCAGTTCCTGTTCCATCACAGCTGGTAGCTGCCATGGACTGAAACGGCGGAAAATGAGCTCAGTTCACAACCTCCATGTGAAGGGACTAAGAGGGCTTCATCAAGAACCCACGTGAACTTCGTACAACTATTCCGGAGGAAGAATATCTTGATTGTGGTAGAATTTATTCCAAAGCGGCTTTTAGTCTCATCATGGTAAGTATTCACAGCAAGCAGAAAAACAGCTGCTATTGTTGATAACAGAGGACTTGCTTCTGAGTTGAAAGACCTTGTCACTAGGCACTGGAACTAGGCTGCCAGCACCTAGGCCCTGATAAAGAATTCGGGCTAAAGGGATGGTACTGGCAGCTGAGAATGGTGTAAAGAAGACTGACCATTGCTCAGTAAGCTGTTTTCACGCCCACGCTGTGTCAGCTGTGACGACGGCTCAATGTTAAGCGGAGCACTATCTCAACAAACCTGTCTCTACTTGAACTTAAGGATTTCTAAGATCAACTTTCATCTAGAAATAGTTATCTTTGGTTGAGTGCCTACCGTGTATCAGGTGCTGTGCTAAGACCTTTGTATATATCATCGCATTTAAATTTGCATAAATAACTACTAACACATTAAAATATCACTGTATGTCAGATTGCATTGACAGCTTGATATATATATCTCTTTCAACCCTCATTACACCATTCGCCGTGGCTATTACTATTATTCTTCCCTAACAAGAAAGGTACCTGGCCGGCCCCTAAATGGGCCAGCAAGTCATTCCCGCGGGATCAGCTGGGAAGGTTCTCCCTGAGGGCAATCTTGATTCTGGCAGAGCCATTAGAACGTTTTCTGTTTACTGTTCTGTAACCAGGGAGAAGTTTGTATTAATTCCTCTAGAAATGCATTTTCCTGTAAGGACGGTCACTACCCACATGTGGCTATTCAGCACTTGAAATGTTCTAGTTCAAATTCAATTGTGCTTATAAGCATAAAATACACATGCGATTTAAAGACTAAATGTGAAAATAGAGTGTAAACTATCTCATAATTTTTATAGTGATTACATATTGAAATGATAGTTTTTTGGATGTACTGGGTTAAATAAAATATAGTATTAAATTAATTTAATCTGTTTATTTTTGGATGTATTGGGTTAGGTACAATATAGCATTAATTTAATCTGTTTATTTTTACCTTTTATAATATAGCTATTAGGAAATGTGGCTCACATTACATTTCTATTGAACAGCGCTACTCTGGATCATTTTAGTACATTGATATACTTATATGCATATATAGAAATACAGTTTTTGGTGTTTTCTAACATAAATATGCATTACCTTTATACTTGAATTCAAATGTTTCTTTTCTTAAAGAAGTATAATTTTTAAAAGCATTGGACATTAAATTAATTCATTTTTTCCTCCCTTTCTTTTTCTCTTCCTTCCCCTTCTCCATCCTCACCCCTCACATTTCTTGACAACCTACAAGGCCTCAGAGTGAAGAAAGCAATAATTATTCTTGGCCATACAAATGTTGAAGCGGGCACACTTACTATTTGGATGAATTCAACAGTTTCAGATGAACAAAGGGGTATTCCCTTGTTGGATCAAAGAAGGTGCCAGTCAGTAAAGGAAGGCTTTGACAAAAGACATAGGAAATGGCTGCATTGCCAAAAGCGATGGATAGTTTTAAATAACTAGATCCAAAGTTGCTCTTCTTACCACGTCATCTCTTTCAGATATTTTTTGCGATAGGCGTAGTCCCATTACTCTATGTTGGGTAATTATGTACTACTAACTGTTAGGACTCACACAGGCAATATAACTCCAATAGCCATTTTGCAAGCCTCCCCGCCCCAGGAGAACAAAGACCAAACTTCCCGCCACAGGAGAACTGGCCGAACAAGAAATGCAGCCGGACACCAGGAACCAAAGAAGCACCCAGTCACACATCCGCATTCCTGTAAACCCAACCTCCTGCCCAAACCCACCAACCAAAACCACAAAACTCCCTGACTGACAAAAGCTTCCCGCCAGTGGATGCATGTAAGGACCAAACTCCAGCTCCTAGGGGCTGCCATCACCGACCAAATACCCCATGGCTCGGTGATGTGTAGCCCTTCACTTTGGATATCCCTATCCCCCCATCATCTTTTCTTTAAATAAATCCAAATTTTCTTTATTCGCCATCTGAGATTGCTATTTAGCATGCCCTCGTACCTCAAACCACTGACTTTCAACTTGACTACTTTCAATTTGATCAACACTGCCCATAAAATGCCACCTCAGTTCAGCTACTGAATCCTGATAGTTTCTGTCACATATGATCAATGCGATCCCTACTTTGCTAAGTTCTGACTAGTTGAAGTAATATGGCAAATATATTATAATGTACCTAGTAGCTTTTACTTTGTGTAAGTGAACATCTGACAATCCAATTAAAGGATGGCGTAACAGAAATGATCCCAAACAAGAGCCCCTTGCTTCTCCACTAAACAAATGGCTGCACATACACAGACAATTCACACAGACGGCACTCGTGTAAACGAGCTGGGAACACAGACACGCAGCATTCTTGTGCTGGGCTGGAAGGCTGTTTGCCACGTTCTAGCAAGGCCTTCACACATGCAAAACATTAGCAGCTCTTACTTGGCCTCAGTGTAGAACTTCATTGAGGGCAGAGGAGAGAAAGAGAACATTAGGCATTAGCAGAGGCGCTGTGATCACTCATTCTTTTCATTCCTGTGAGCGCTCCTTGGTGCTCTGTCGCACTTGTGTCCCTCTGGTTACAGGCTGCCTTGAGAAAGGACTGCGGTTGAAGTCATGTTTAGTCCTTTGCTTACTCATTGCTGCTCTAAGACAAGCTTCCCAATAGGTAAAATGAGGCAAAATGAGGAATTGGATGGGGATTTCCAAAATGTTCTCCTAGCTGGTAATTTCCCCAGTCTAACAAATCAAATTTCCCTTGAGCAGATTCCATAGGGGCTGTTTTATTATTACTTTTTTAAATGTAGTTTTATTGCTGAAAGTATTACAGGTCCCCCCCCCCCCTTTTTTTTGCTCCATATTGATAGGGCATGTGCAAGGTGTTTCTTTCATTTCCTTCTATTCCTCACCATCTTTTCCATCATTCAAGGAAGAATAGAAAGAAAGCAAAACAGAAACAAAGAGGAGGGTGATACAGGGATTTTGAACCTTTTCTCAAGTGCTATACATCGCTGCAATTAAGACAATCTTTTGAAGCAAACAAGAAAATCTCCCTTAATTAGAATTGACTTCATCTGAGTAGATACCATGTGCTGTAGGGGGCCAACCCTGTCCTCCTCGGGCTTGGTAGCTACAGGTGAGCAGGGGCCCCATACCTCTGCTCAAGAGGCTGCCAGGGAGCTCTCAGGCAGTATCAGCAGGCAGGAAGTGGGGTGGGAGTGAGGGGGATCTCCACCCACTAGCAGCTGCTTAAGTAGTAGGCAGGGGAACTTTTCTACAGAGAAATTCAGGTCAGCAGATCCTCCAAACCAATTTATACCACATGCTACCCAGTTGTGCAATTAAACTTAAATGCCAAGAAAGGACTTGGAATACCAATCCCCTTATTTTTTCTCTACCTTGTGCTTGGCACCCAAAAGAATAAAGCAAGAGCAGTTGGACTTGGTGGTTTAACAGGAATTATTAGGCAACGGGAAGGAAGTGAAGGCAGCACACACCGAGGGAAGCTGTCTTCACAGAACATCATGTACCAGTGATTAAATGTCAAGACCCATCATTGTTCAAATGGTGATGTCTACACAGGTTTGGTAACTTGCTCATTCAGATTTAACTAAAAGACAGGCTTGACAGATTATCAGAATCTTTGAAGGAGGGCTGTAGGTGGAGTAGGGAAAGGAGTGAGGTAATTTTTAAAAATGACCTCATAAGTTTTTTTAGAAACAATAATATTATCACTTCAGTGGGTTTTGTTTTTTGTGTTTTTTTTTTGCTATAGTCTATTCTAGTATAATGTAAAATAAAAGTGTTGCCAAGTGTAGAGAAAACATTTCTAAATAAATCATTATCAATTACATTAAACTTCTAAAATAAAAAAATATGTAAACACGTGTTTGTCCATCAGACTTGAGTGCATTTTTGTTAATATTTTCCTTGTGGGAGAAATTTGACTTTTTCGTATCCTACTTCTTTAACAATAATTTTATATGACTGAGCAAGGGAATAAGAGCTGGGTTCATAATTTTTCATTTATACTTAAAAATATTTTTTTTATATTCTCTCAACAATAGGAAAACATTAAATGATTACCTCTGTAAATGTGTTCCGATTGGCTTGCAAGCCAACTTTTACTACCTCAAAAGGGTTAACCACGATGGCTTCTGTTAATCCAGACCCCAGTCCAGCAATGGCAAATGTCTAGAAAAATTAAATCAATCAATACTTTAAAACGAGGTATCATGCATACTGGGTTAAGCATCCTACCCACTACACAGTGTAACTGAATGTTATGAGAATGGCAAAACGTACGTAAATGCACCATATACCATAACTAAACAGCTTTAGTTCTTGATCAGATGCTGACAATTTATGAAGAAGAAATTACAGAAGCCGCAAACCACATCCTAACAATTCAAAATAAAATGTCAAGACCCCATCAACAATGATTTTCCCCCTCTAATGAAAAGAAAGGTAGTTTTACTAATTTGAGGTGAATACTAAAACATCTGCACATGTAACAATTAAAAGAGTTTGACTTGTAAAATGAGAGCTTCATTTTTAAATTCTACTTCAATACATTATTGAGCAGATTAAAACATTTTAAGAGCAGAACCACAAATAAAGTGTTTATAAAAAGTGAAATTCCAGGTAATTAAACAGTATGGCTGAAAACATTTAAATGTATGGCTGTATTCTTAGAGTCACTATTCTAGACTATTATCAAACAAAAACTTATTTTTTATTCATTCTTTCCCTATTCTCCCCCTTCTCCTCCTCCTCTTCTTCTCCTTCCCCTTCCTCTTCTTCTTCTTCTTTTTTGTTAATCCTCACCTGATATTTTTTCCATTGATTTTTAAAGAGAGTAGAAGGGAGAGGGGAGGAGGGGGAGAGAGAGAGAGAAATATCAATGTGAGAGAGACACATCAATTAGTTGCCTCCTGGGGCTGGGGATTCAACGTGCAACCCAGGTACATGCCCTTGACCAGAAATTGAACCGAAGACCCTTCGGTCCATGGGCTGACACTCTAACCACTGAGACACACTGGCCAGGGCCTCTCCCCACTTTTTAAAAACTGATAATTGCCCTATTCTTCTAGACCTAGAAGCCAAGGAATGAGAACAGAAATGGCTAAGTTGTTGAAGGCCTCAAATAACATCTAGAACATTTATCAAAAATGACTTATTTGCTGTCTCTCAAGAATTTCTGCAGTAGGAGAGAACAATTTTCTAGACTTTTTCTCTAGAAAAACTTTACAGGTTTTTCCGAAAATCCGTATCAAAAAGAACTACAATGATTAAAACACACACATACACACAAAATAAAATGAAACAATGCCTCAAACCTGCAAAATATATGCCGAAAAAGGTAATTCTTTAGTGCTGCAGCTCTAATTCTAGAAGAGGTAGTACTAGATACAACTAAGAGGAGAAAAAAAGCCAGTAAAGAGCAAAGATCATTCTTATCAGGAGCCTCTGATTTCTTCCAATAGGAGACTAAAAAATAAAAGGGACAAAGGAATGTTCTATAACCTTAGAAGGGGAGGCAAGGATCCAGAGCCAGGACATCTGGGTGAAGGTCCTGGTTCTGCCACTTCCTGGCTGATTTGGACATGAGCTGCCATGTACATTAGTTTGTGCACAGAGGTGTGTGTGGATCCCAAAGTCCAGCCTGCACGCCGCTTGCCAAGCGGGAGCCCTGGAGAGGCGTCAGCTGGAAGAAAGGGGTGCCTTTGCATCATCCACATAAAGACACCATATGTGCAAGCTGTAGCTCAGTGTCTCAACACTGAATCTTTGTATAAGCCACGGTTTTCTCATCCATAAAATGGAGACAATCATATCTAATCTCCCTACCTGATAAGGTTACTATGAGAGTCAAAATCATGTGTGAAAGCCCTTTGTGGAGTGCTTCACAAAAACCATTCTTGTTGCACATACGGATGGACGGGAAGAATGGCACTGTATACAGGTTCCGGGAGAGGGCAGTAACTCATGATGCTTTTCTTCCATGCCTTTATTGCAATTTTAAACATGTTCGTATAGGGTAATAGACTAAATATTTTATTCATGTATCTTGGGCTTCCATCATGGAAGCCAAAAGTGTGTGTGTGTGGGAGCACTAGTCCCAAATTTTTCAGACTGAAAAAGCTAAAATCCAGATGTTCAGAGTTTTATTACTATGTGCAATCTTCCAAGTAATTCCCCCCTTTTTTTTGTTCTATAAACTCAGCTACATTTGCTGTTAGAAATAGTGTTCAGCAGTCCCTTGTCAAAAGAATTGATCAGCTATCAGCAGATCATATTACTTAGATTGTTCCAGAGACCAGCAGTAACTGTCCGGATCCCAGCCTCCTAGGCTTTTCATGTGAGAGCACTAGGGATATTTAATGGCTGTTTAAGTGTCTAGCTGTAGCGAAAAGAAACGGGAATAAATGAGTTCAAGAGAAAGGGAACAGTGTATACAGTCTGTATGCATTCGGTTATGGTAGCTGGAGTGGCCAAATGCTTTTTCTGTTGCAATTCCCGAGAGGGTCGAAAGAACTGCATTTTCTCACATGCTACCAACACTCCACGTAGCAACAGCCAGCTGGCCCTCTGGAGACCACATTTTATTGTCTTTTGCTAGAAACGTTTTAAATTCTCTTTTTAAGAAGATGTTTTCAAAGTTATGAGTGACATTAAGGGGAGACACCAAGGAATTTAAAAAAATAACAGCTAATTTTAGGACGCAGGCTACCACTTCTTTCCTACGAGGCCACCTCGGAGCCACCTTGTCAGGGAGGAGGCTAGACAAGAGGTCTCTTTGTCATAACACTAAGCCATACTATTCGTTTTCTTAACAGGATCATTCTAGAAAAGGGACATGCATGACTTTTTAAATAACAGATACTTCTTGGACAGTCTCTTTGGCAGAGTTAATATTCTGAAATGAACCTTTACAAGGGAAGCCATTAAAGAGCTGAAGCTCAGAACACCACCTCTCTGGTTGAGTGTGGGGGGGGGGGGTAAATTTCAGCAGGCAAACTCGGGGGTTTTCAATGGAAGGGCCAATGCAGATTTGACTTTGTTTTGTTTTTAAAAATTTTTTTCTTTATTGGTTTTAGAGAGAAAGGAAAGGAGAAGGAGAGAGAAAGATAGAAGCACCGATGACAGAGAACATCGATTGGCCGCCTCCTGCATGTCCCCCACTGGGGATCGGGCCCACAACCTGGGCATGTGCCCTGACCGGGAATTAAACCGGTGAAATCTTGGTGCATGAGTCTATGCTCAACCACTGAGCCACACCGGCCGGGCTAACTTTGTTTTGTTTTGTTTCACAGATTTGAAGGGAGGAATTAGTGCATTTGCTCTCATTGCACACACATATATTGTAGAACCCATTTGGTCAATATACTTAAACTCGTCTTGTAAAAAGCAGCCGTCACCAAGGAGGAAGGGTGGCGTCAGGAAACGTTCAGATCACTAAGTGACTTTCATGTTATAGTTGAGATGTGTCATTGTAAGATCACTTTTCTCCCAGATTATAAAAGACTCTTCAGTCCACATCTGACCATGGAGTGACCTGAAGTCCTATATGGACTGCAGCTTAAGGAAAAGCTGGAAAAGTAACCTGCTAGGAGATCATTTTAAGCATACTGACTTTTGCATAGATATGTGCAGTATGTAAACATGCATGTTTTGGCTTTAAAAGAGTCTTTGACAAATGTGTCTTATATTTTACGTTCTTGACCATATCTCATATGAGCCTTTCTACACATATCATTATTATCATAAATTCATCCCTGGGTGCTATAAAATAGCCAAATTGTGAGTTATTAGGAAGATGGCTTTCAACAAGTAGGTGAACATTGAATAACTCGAATTCATATTTCAGTAGTTGGACCTGGGGAATCAAAAGACTTTTTGTTTCTAGATTTTGCTTTATGAAATAACATACACATTCAAGTATAATAAATATTCTCACTTACCAATGCTGGTGACAGCGACACACATCCTAGCAATTTCTTATACTGCTCAAAGGTGAAAAACTGTGAAACAAAACCAAACCCAGAGATTTATAACAATTTCCTGCAACAAACCCTTTAATTGACTCAAATTTCTTTAGTAAATCATTATATTAACTAGCATTTTAAAAAATGATAAACCACCGAACACAGTTTTTAATCTGGTCTCGGCTAGTTGCTATTGGATCTTACTTTCACATTCCCAGTTTCAAATGCAGCTATAATAGCCTACAGAAGAGCTGATGGAATCCTTTATAGCAGTAAATGAACCATACAGCTTCCATTTACCATGACCATTTTCAGTTTCCCCAGACATCAATAGACTTCTTTTTTTTTTATGGCAGTGATTCAAAATCATAGGCATAGAGACCTGAAATCTTTGGTCTCCTCTGTTTTCTCTATGGACTCTTTCCCAGTGAATGCCCAATTATCTAACGGACTTGTAAGGCACAGCCACTTCTCAGCTTGAACTTGCATTTGCATTGCTGTACATCTGTCCTGTTCCATGAGATTTCCAAACACTCGGCGATGATGAAGATGCCACTGTCAACTAGGAAAAGACCCACTGAAATCATTGCAGACTATCCCTGCTTAAAGCTAGACTGTCCTCCACCTGAGCCGAGGAGAGCTGCTTATTCCTTCCTTTAAAATGGGATGATGATGATGAAGATTTTGTTGGTTCCTTTGGTAGATGATGTTTAATATAATTTTCCTGAAAATGAGTTTCTTGGGAGGCACATCTAATCAATCACTTTTTATAACATACCCCAAATACATTTTTTTCTCTGACATTGTGGGCAACGACTCCTCCTGAACATGATGTTTTGCTTCTGGGTGCTCCGTTAGGCAGTCATAAGAAGCTCTGATAAGGCACGCTCCTTAGTTCCTGCCTGTTTGTCAAGACTCCAGAAATGGCATGGGTACTTTGTGATCACAAATGTCTTCTATCCTATTACTTTTTGACCCAGTAAAATGGAGCAAGAAAAATAAAAGCAGATTTGGGGGCCAACTAATACTCTGTTGTTAGAAAGAGGTGATTGTGTGGTGTAGACATGGCTCAAATGAGTCTTCGGGCATCCCAAGAGTCAAAGCATCACCAGATAGATTTTCATTCTTTTAAAGACCCATGAACTACTTTTTGTGCCATGCTTTTTTAGATTAACTATGGGTTCCAGACTTTTCTAGAAATGAGATTCATTCATTAATTTACTCAACAAATATTTTATTGGATGCCGCCTATGTTCTAAGAGGCACTCAGGAGGTAGCAGCAGTAAACAGAGGGAACCCTTGCCTTCTTGATCTAACATTCCAGTGGTTGGCAATAACCCTGAAACTGTAACCTGGGGTTACAATAATGCCACTAGGGACCACCACTGGTTTGTTGAGAGATACACTTGAAACCATTAATCATGGAAGGAAACACATTATAGTCTTGGGCTTTAAAGACACTTTATTTTTTCTTCCTTCTTATGGTCATCACCATCCTGTTTTTGACAATGTCCTTGCTGGGATTTTGACGGGAGCGGTCCTGGGTCTGAATCTTGGCTCTGCTACTTTGCTGTGAAAGTACGGGTGAGTCGCCTGACCTTTCTAATCCTCAAGAACACAAAACGTACCTTTCAGAGCAGCCTTTAAATAGGAGCATTTAAGTAAGGTTTCTTGACATGCCTGGCACATAGGAAACTTTCAGAAAATTGTAGTTTCTATTCCTTTCTTCACTTTGGCCACTAAAGGACCCGTAAATGCCTTAGTTATGTATTTGTATCACTCAGGAGAGCCTGTTGTGGTCCAGGAAACAGGCTAAGGTCTTACCATGTGCTCATGAATTTGATCCATAAAACATTATCAGATAAGAGCTATAATATAGCCATGATTCCCATTTTGTAGATACATGTTCCGTAGTTAGTGAGTGGAAAAACTGAGATTCCCCGAAGTCTAACTCCCAGGCGTGTGTGCGCTCTTAACCACGATACTATACTTGCTCACTGCTGAGCCGTGACTGTTAGTGATTTGAGTAGAGACTCTCTGCCCTGGAGTTTTCTTGCTGCTGAAGCCTTCTTGTCTTCCCTGACTCTGGAAGCCCAGAATCCCTCAAAGCAGATTTCAAACTTTTTTGGACCACAATCTATGCAGAAAATATTTGCTCAACACAGGCGCATGTACACACAAGTATGCACACAATACGCTCTTGTATTTATATCTGAAACAAAACACTGCTATAAAACAGTATTTACCCCTTCACTATGTGTATCTCTGTTTCTATTCTATTTCATTAAAAAAAAAAAAATCTCTGGTCATGACCCACTACATCTAGTGACTCGCTAAACTGACTTCATGACCCATGGTTCATGACCCACATTTTAGAAATACTACTCTAAGGGGTCCTCACTGGATTTGGGGAACTTCTGAGAGATGATGGACCTCATAAAAGGCCTTACTACCTTGTTCCCTTCTGGTGTAAAGATGTGTGTGTGTTTTCCTTTCTGACTTTCTGTCATTACATCACAGTGGAGGCAAACCCCTTCGGAGTACTCCTCGGAATGCCTGTGCATTTTGAATCCTTCCTGTTGGGCTGGTAGGAACAGGCACTATTCTCAGCCTTGTGTGGCTAGGAGCACGGTTCCCTCTACTTCTCTGGATGGCTTTCTCAGGCCTTGCTAGTTTCCTTACACGTTCTCAGATGAATACTTGCGGAGTCCCCCTGCAGATCTTAGGAGTTCCTGCTCTGTGCAGCTCTCTCTTCTCTGGTACTTTGTCCAGTAACTCTGGCTGCCTTGCCCTCCCCAGCCTTTCCGCTCCTTCCCAGCCCAGGGAGTCCAAGGGCTCTGCCTGTAGTTCCCTTCCCTGCCCCCGGGCCTGGAAACCCTTTTAGGCAGTAAGGTGGGGCAATCCGTAGGGCTCATCTCCTTTGTTTCCTTGCCTGATATCCAGTATCTTGAAAATTGTGGTTTCCTATTTTGTTCATTTTTTGTTGTTGCAGTCTCAGGCAGGAGAGTAAATCCGGTCCCTGTTACTCCATCTTGGCTGGAAATGAAAGTCTTGGCCTTCCAGAAATTCTGAATAGTAGATGTGGGAATTTGCGGGGAACGGGACAGGAGTGTCTCCGGCTATAAACCCATCAATGTGCTTTCTGTCCCTCTCTATTTTCCATTTACTCATGTAATATCAACTGAACATCTGCTGTGTGTAGATACTATGACAGGTACAGGGTTAGTGGTGAACAAATAGCCTTCACAACGGATGAGCTCTCATGAGTTTGGTTAGCAAGGGCAGTCCTCCCGTCTGGTCACAGAATAATGGTGTTTCTGCAGCTGGGATGCTCAAGACTAGACCCTGGGACCCAGAATGTGGCCAATGGCTCCCACTTCTGAGGAACCAGATGTTTTCTTCCTGAGGTCTCTATTTCCTTCTGCTAACTGCAATACTAATTGTCTTAATTTGCAAAAGAGGAAGTGTCATTTATTTAGCATCAATGACTCTTACTATTTTAATGATGAATCTCATTTCAAAGAATAAAATACAGAAAAAAATTAACATTGTGATTATAGGAATGATTGTAAATAAAGCGTCAGTACTAAGGATGATCTATATCTATATCTATCTATGTTTGAAGTATTCATAGTCCATATATATGCATAAGTGTGTATGTGTGTATATACACACATACATATATGGTCTGTGGATATTTTTTTCTGAAGTAAACTTTGATGACATACAACGAAGCAGTTTATGATGTATGAAATTGTTACAGTCAGATGATTGCTTTCCTCACAAATCCTAAGATAAATATCTATACAGTGAATGTTTTCATAAATTGTGTTGAAAAAATCGTGCTATCCATCTGGCAAAGATACACTTTTAACTCCAAGTTATACTTTAAAAAACCAACGTACTTACCATATGTCTCAATAATTTTAAGGTAACAACTGCTTGAAACAAGATGTCTGGGACACATATACCATATCCAGTTGCCCAAAAGTTCATCTGTTAACCATTGTTCTGGCAGGGAGCATTGCTTTCTTTTAAATAGAGGCTAACTCAGTTTTGTAAATCTGGACATTTCCCCCCTCTGTAAATGACTGTTCAACGTTGATAAACTTTAATCCTCTTAAAGTTTAAATTGTCTCCAATGTATAGTATTAAGAAAAAATATTCCAGGAAAAACTTTAATTATAATTTACTTTATTTATACATGTAAAACACTGAACAAATAATAAAATGAATATATTATTCCATGGAGACAAAGTGACTTTCCTTTTGAACAGGAACTCTGCTCTGTTTGTTTACTTGGGCAATCTTTTATCAAGTGAAGCCATTTCATAATTCAATTCAGCCCTCTTGTGTACTCTGGTGAACTTTTTCCAGATTCTCTACTGAGATTCAGATCCTTATAATGAAATTCGTTTTGAAGTAATAATATAAAAGTCACAGAAACTATGGCAACAAAGAGGATCAATTTACAGAGAAAGTGTGTTTCATTTTATTTATTTATTTTTAAAAATATGTTATTCTTGATTTTTTTAGAGAGAGGAAGGGAGAGAGATAGAAACATCCATCAGGCTGCCTCCTGCATGCCCCCTACTGGAGATCAAGCCTGAAACCCGGCATGTGCCCTGACCAGGACTCAAACTAGGATCTGTCAGTTCATGAGACAATGATCAATCACTGAGCCACACTGGCTGGGCAAGAAAGTGTGTTTTAAAGCTTTGTTTTCTGAATTCTAGACCTGAATTAAATTCTATTAAACTGCTATTTTGACCTTTGTAAAGTTTTGGTGCCTATGCATATATGTGGTTGTTTTATCATAAATTTTAACCTAGTCACCCTCTTATATTGCTGAGTAAAAGTATGTAAGTTGCACCTTCTTAACCTTTCAGGAATATCTGGAATACAAATTGAATAATGTATGTGAAAAAATGCTTTGTGTTATTAGTTGGAAAGGAAGTCTTTCAGTCTAAGTTTATGTTATCCTTATTATGGAAAGACAAAGACATAATTAATGTTATTGTTGGTGGTGGTGGTGGTAGGGGGGTCAACACCGGAGTCACGGTGATCAGGACTTTTTTTCTGAGAGAACATATAAAAAAGTGATCAGATTTAGTTCTTTCTCCCTCAGGGGTCCTGCCAGATCTCTGTGTTCCTATCCAAATACTGAACCAGTAAGTTGTACATAAACTCCATAGTTATGTGGTTAAGAAGGCCAAATAAATGTGTTGTACAAGAATCATATCAAGGAAATACAGAGTATTAGTTTGCTCTGTTCATAAAACGGGAATACTTCGGGAGAAAGATTTTTCTACCCCTCCCCTCTCTTTGTCCTCTCTCTTTCTTTAATAATTATTGGTCCAAAAGAAAATTGATGAATTGCTTTGAGAAGAAGTCCAAGCTATTTGTGGCTGCTGTGCTTTGATTGCATTAATTTCATTCACCACTGTGCTTTTTATATAGTTTCCCCTTAGAAGGAAGTAACTTTACCTGAAAAATAAAATCCACAAACCAATATTTGAGAAATTGATCAAGCCTACTTATAATTCAAAATTATGCTATAGCTTCTGCATTGATGATTTTATTAGCCTATGTTTAATTCACATTAATGTCCCACAGGTGGTTGGGACAGGTGTGGGGTCTTTTAATGCTGATGTTTACTTTCACTAGGTGGGAAGGCATAAACTACTCACCTTCACTGCTCTTTTTGGTGTTTCCGCCAATATGGGTGGTAGAATTCCCTTGTAAAAACCGAACAACCTTTGGAGAAATAAAATATTTTATATAAGTAAGGGGATTAGAAAATAGGGAATTTTACCTTTGTTTATAGATAAAGCAGCTAATCATAAAGTATCCACAATTATTCAATGTAGCCACAAATTTTGAAGTCCTTTGTTTTAATTCTAAAATAGAAAGATTTTGAATACTACATTTATTAGCATCATTCAGAAGAAGAAATGATGCAGAGACTGGAATCTCTTAGGTAAGTTGCTAAATACAACCAGGAGTTGTACCTTAAAGATGAAGTTGATTTTCCTCAATCTAAGGAATCTTGACTTTATTTTCTTTGTTGTGTGGTAGGTAGCTTTAAGCTGTCTACAGTCTTGCATTTCCTCCCTTATGGTAACTAAATGAGGTTAGACTTATACCTGAGCCCACTAGACTCAAACTTTCTGAGGCTAACAAAGTGATAACATCTCCATTTTTAGCTTTACTAACACAAGGGAACTAGCAAAGTTCTGTGGCTCTGGAACTTGGGCTCCTGGACCTGTCCTGATCTGTCACAATTTTTTAACTTTCTTTTTCTTTTTTTTTTTTTTAATCCTCACCCGAGGACATTTTTCCATTTTTTGTTCAGGTAGAGTGGGAGGGAGAGAGAGGAAGAGAGAGAGAGAGAGAGAGAGAGAGAGAGAGAGAAACATCGATGTGAAAGGGACACATCGAGTGGCTGCCACCCGCACAACCGACCAGGGCCGGGGAAAAACTGCAACCGAGGTACGCGCCCTTAGCGAGAACCGAACCCGGGTCTCTCAGGACCGCAGACCAACGCTTTAACCGCTGAGCCAAACCAGCCAGGGCTAACTTTCTTAATAGAGATGGAAGTAGGTCAGGGACATATGTTGCTGACAAGAAATGTCAAACTTCCTGCTGATAATTTCATAGGGTCTAGGACAGCTATTGTTGCCAATGTTGAGAAACTTGTCACATTATCAGATGTTTTTAGAAAAAAATGAATAGATATTCTGATGATAAGATTGATAAAAATTCACTACTTATTTCATATTAGATTTTAAGATTCAAAGTTTTAAATTTGTCTGACCTGGAATCTCAATCTCTCTCTCTCTCCATATGTGTGTGTGTGTGTGTGTGTGTGTATAATATATATATAATACATATATATTGTATATATTTATATGAATATAAATAATACATATATATTCTATATAGATAAATAATACAGAAGAGAATATTCTGTATTACTTTTTAAAATAATCACTTTTCCTGATGAGCCCATAAGTGACTATAGATAAAGGCAGGGCTCAGTGTGTCCCTGTGTTAGGATGTCCATTTTACATGGGGCTGGAGATTCTCTGATTGACCCCTCAAGCTTCACTACAACGTCTTCGAATTGGGCTCTGCGTCTAGCTATGCTTCTGGAACAAGAAAGTTAAGAGTTTATTCAGACTCACCCACTGTGCCATGCTACCCAATGCAACATGGTGACCTCTTGCTCCCCTCTGGCTTACACAGCACCCTCCAGCGAGGGGAGCAAAGGACTTGTCTTAGGGCTTTAAAACTGTTAGCTCCTTGAAGGCTTTGTGTGCATTAGAGTACTTACCCCAGACTGTGTGTGTGTATGTGTGTGTGTATGTGTGTGTGTGTGTGTGTGTGTGTGTGTATAAACAAAACACAAATGTTTGTTAAGCATCTGAATTTCATGAGGAGGAAGAAGGGAATCAAATGATCCCCTGACATGGATTTACTCTGCCCACTATTTTTCAGTTAATGAATAGTACTTGCATTATGAATAGGGAGTAAAGCAAACATGTGATTTGAAGAACTATAAGAATTCACAAATTCCCCCACCTCTTTTCTTTCCAGTTTCAAGTACTGATGCCTGAAATTCACATGTAAAATTTAAATACCACAATTCTTTATAATTTAAATTTCATTATAAATTAATTAAGCATAGGTTTGGTCTTCCCAAAAGATAAATGTGATTTTCCTGAAGTTCTACATTTATAATGAAAGACATAGACATTCTGTTCTTTCTGTGCTGATTTTTCCACATCTGGAAAATTAAACCTGATTATGGAGGGGGGTGAAATTAAGACCATTTAAGTAACTAAAGTATCTAGAACAGAGTGCCCTGGCTAATTGAAGTACTTGAAATCCCATATGACAGAGAACAGTTATAGGAAGAACAGTCACTTATCCTGAAGAAGAAAGATCATAGGGAGAAACATGATAACATGATAGATCTCTTGGAAGGTGAGCACATAGCAAAGAGACTAGACATTTGTTTGTTCCCAGGTGGTAGAACTAGGACTGACAGGTGCAAGCAACAAGGAAAGACATTTTGTCCCAGTAGAAATGTGATACAAGAAAGTAGTCCCAATAGTCAGAACAATCTCGAGTTAGACTGGGCTTTCCTGAAAAGTGGTGAATGCCCCTTTGTGGTATGTGGTCAAGCAGTCTGGATGGCCACTTGTCATGGATGCCAGAAAGGGGCTACACACAGTAATGGATGTGGACTCACCTACCCTCCAGGTTGGTCTCCAACCCTCAGATTTTATTCTTCTAAGAAAAAAAGAACAAGAGGACATGGGAAAGTACTTTTGTGAAGATACGAACTCTGCCTTCCTTCCAGCTTTTGCTTCTCTGGAGGACAGAAGTCTTATAAATAACACAGAAGGTCTTCATTTTAAAAAAGATGGAAGAAAATATTAAAAAGAGGTGTAAGGCAGGAGGGAAGAGAGACAGCTGGAAGAACCATAAGGATTTAATCTGAAAAGATCTGGGAGGTCCAGAGCCCTCTGCTTCATGTCGGCAATGCTTCCTTGATGAACCCTCCTTCCCTTCTCCCTGCTCGGTTCCTTTAATGTGTAGCCACCCCCTCCCCTTCACTGCCTCCAGCCATCCCACCATCCTGAACTTTCAAACAGTGAATGGATAGCATTAATGGGGAATTCTCAAGGACCATAGGCAGTCTTCGCTGGCAAATGGGAAGCTAGAACTATCTACTTCCTTGCAATGTATTCACAGATTTTCATGCAGCAGTGAACATCTCTGGACTAGTCAGGCTGGAACCTCTTCTGGTGAGAACTTCCCCACCTCATTTTTTTTTTAAACCACCAGAATTGACATATTAATACAATGATATTGCCTGTAGGCAGCGGTTGATTGGGCACCTCACCAAATGGATCCAAATGGTATTCTGTTTCTTAGCTCCAGTTAATCTGATCCAAGTTAGACCTAGCTGAATCTTTTCCAGGATGTTGGAATTAGAACTAAAAATGTCAGTCTTGCTCTCTGTGGTTGAACTTCTAACATAGATAGCTAAGAGATCAAAGGCAGTCTTCTGTCATTCTGGAAGAAGTCAGTGTGCACTGATTAAAAAAGAAAGAAGCTACCATTCAGAGAAACACAGACGCAAGATAGAGAAGAGAAAGCCTGGTACTGTGTGTGTGACTCAGCCCTCCAGGATTTCTTTAAGCCCAGTTATAGCTCAGCCCTTCTTGAATAATGGCATTTTCCTTTGCTTTTGGTTCTCTGAGATACCCAGTTACATTATATACATTTAACTTTTTACTTAAATACATTTGAATTGCGTTTATTACTTACAACTGACAGTCCTAGATCTGAAAAGGACGCCCCGCCCACCATGGCCCAAAGCAGCTGCCGCAGCACCTCAATTCCATACCCTCTCACATGAAGTCTTTTGGTCAGTTACCTTGGGCCACTGAACCAATCAGAAGAGGCACACCCACAATTTGAGCAAGAGAAGGTAGAAAAAGCTCAAGTTGATGAACTATTTTTCTGACTTGATTAGAAAATTACTGAGTTTTCCTAATGTAAAGCATGATATACGGATTCTAAGAAAGAAAAAGGAATTGTGATGTTTTATGAAAGACATACTTTTTTTTTTTGGTCTGCTAAAGTAATGACGTTTATATCCCCATGCACTGTTCATTCTGCCAAATTTTTCTGCCTTCATGTAGTTTTGGCTTGAAGTACAGAACATACAGTTACCAGGACAATAACTAGGGAAGTTAAGAGATTTGTGACACCCATATCAACATGCTTCAGACTGCTTACTTCTCAAGAAGCAGATTAACACTCCTTGGACCAATGGAACATGGGATTCTGATGTTTATGTAGCATAGATGACAGTTCTTTCCCCTGAAAAGACAGTGAAGCCACCACTCTGGTTTTAAGTTTGACCCACATCAAGCCAACTGGAGAACTCTTTGGAAGAGGCCCCAGAACCAAAGCCAGACCTCCCATAACACTGTAGTATAAACTATATGGCAGCCCTCATATTTTGTTTCGCAAAGTTGTGACTTCTGAAAGTAAGGAGTTTGATTTTAACTACCTTGTGTAGGAAAATGTTAACTTGGATGTTCATAAACTTTTGTTGATATTGTTCTAAGTAAAATAGGCAAAATTTGTTGAATGCTTCCCATGTTCTAGCCACTCTGTTAAGAATCAACATCTGAAGGCATATGGACATATTTTAATCTCATTGAACTCCCACAATGAGCCTTTGAAGCAGCTGTGATCTCTTCATTTTGCAGGTGAGGCCTATCCTCACATCACTGCCAGACAGGACACAGTGACTGCAGTCGAGTTCCATTGTCCTCACAGTCCACCTCCTTGACCACTAGGCTACACTGTATTGCAGTTTTTCTGGAAATAAAACTACTTTTACGAACACTTTTGGAAAGCTGTTTCTGTTACAAAAACGTCTTGTCATATCTTATGTTAGGAGGAAGCAGAAATGGCAACTAAGAATCAGTTTTCTATTCCATTCCCATGCAGTTCTGTGCTAACGCAATGTGAAACACTACCTGCATAACCGATAGATTTGGACTGAGATGAAAGAGATCATTTTTTTGTGTGAAAGCTTTTGGGTTGTTCATCAAGTATTTTCTAGTTGGATCAGAATGAGAGAAAAATAGTAGGTCCTAGGATAACACATCTCTAGATTCTTCCCCCTTAAGATAACTTTACCCTTAAGAGGCACATGAGGATAATTC